ACCAAAAGTACACCATATAAAACTATCCACAGTGATGCTTCTCTTCAATCCTCAAACCTAAAAAGACTTAAAACTGAGAATACTAAAGAAGTTTGCAAATATAAAGACTGTGTAAACTGTCTCAATGTGGCTTCTATCATTACACTCAATCAAGGAATCCATGAAGAGAAGAAAGAAGATAATAGAAATACAGAATTTAATAAGGTTTCTGTTTCTAAACATAAACTCGAGCTGAAGCAAAACAATACAGATGTGAACACTTACAAGTGCAGTGAATTAGACAAATGCTTTATACAGAGAAACAATCTTCAAAGTCAGCAGAGAATTTATTCAGGAAAGAAACCTCACAAATGTAGTAAATGTGACAAATGCTTTACCCAAAACTCCAGTCTTAATATTCATCAGAGAACTCATACAGGAGAGAAACCTTACAAATGCAGTGAATGTGACAAATGCTTCACTACAAAAGGTAATCTGAGTGTTCATCAGAGAATTCATACAGGAGAGAAACCTTACAAATGCAGTAAATGTGACAAATGCTTTACCCAACAATCCTGTCTTACCATTCATCAGAGAACTCATACAGGAGAGAAACCTTACAAGTGCAGTGAATGTGACAAATGCTTCACTAAAAAAGGTAATCTGAGTGTTCATCAGAGAATTCATACAGGAGAGAAACCTTACAAATGTAGTGAATGTGACAAATCCTTCTCTAAAAAAGGTTATCTGAGTGTTCATCAGAGAACTCATACAGGAGAGAAACCTTACAAATGCAGTGAATGTGACGAATGCTTCACTGACAAAGGTAATCTGAGTGTTCATCAGAAAATTCATACAGGAGAGAAACCTTACAAATGTAGTGAATGTGACAAATGCTTTTCCAGACCATCCCATCTTAGTATTCATCAGAGAATTCATACAGGAGAGAAACCTTACAAATGCAGTGAATGTGACAAATGCTTCTCTAAAAAAGGTAATCTGAGTGTTCATCAGAGAATTCATACAGGAGAGAAACCTTACAAATGTAGTGAATGTGACAAATGCTTTTCCAGACAATCCCATCTTAGTATTCATCAGAGAATTCATACAGGAGAGAAACCTTACAAATGTAGTGAATGTGACAAATGCTTTTCCAGACAATCCCATCTTAATATTCATCAGAGAATTCATACAGGAGAGAAACCTTACAGATGCAGTAAACATGACAAATGCTTTACCAGGAAGTTTAGTTTGAGAAGGCATCAGAGAATTCATATAGGAGAGAAACCATGAAAATATAGTGAATGTGACAAGTGCTTTACTAAAAAATTCAATCTTCATTTTTATCATTGAGTACATACAAGAGAAATACCATACAAATCCCATGAGTAAGAAAAATGGTTTGCCTGAAAATCTCATCTTAGTATTCATCAAAGAATTGATTCGGGAGAGAAACCTTACAAATGTATTGAATGTGACAAATTTATTACACATAATGTAAGTCTGGGAAATTATCAGAGATTTCATACAATTGAGAAAATTCAGAAATGAAGTGAATGAGACAATTCTCTACAAAGAAATATCTTAAAATTCATTGTGGAATACTTACAGGAGAAACACCTTAGAAATGTATTGAAGATGTGAATCCTTTACTTTTGGTCTGTCTGTTAGAATGTAAGAGAGAATACATACACATGAAAATCTTAACAAATGTAATGTATGACAAAATTATTTGACTTCATTTCAGGTCAGAGAAACCATTTAATAATTTTTTATGAGAAAAGTATTTCTGCTGAGAACAATGTGGCATATGTTTTATTCAAGGTATATACTTTTCAAAATTTGAGGTTCCACACTAGAGAATTAGTGTGATTATGGAAAACTTTTATAAACCTTTGTGTAATTGTTTTTCAAGCCTTAGATATTGTCAACTATTTATTCTTGGGGAAACTTTGAAAAATGTGTCAATGTAGGAAAGTTTTCATTGAACTTTTACTTGTTCACCCTCAAATATTATAAGACCTAAACAAATAGAATATCCAGAAGAATATAATATTGTGTAACATGTTCATGGAGACAGAAATAATCCGTTCCAAAGGGAAACTAATTTGGTATGTACTACACCCCTCAAATATCTAATAAAACATACAACATTCTATATATTTAATTCAAATTGACAAATTGAGAGAAATCATACTTAAAAAGAATACTTGACCATCTATCCCACCCAGACCCCATATTTTTCATCTATAAATATGCCTAGAGATAGAAAGTGTGTTTTGAGTATACTGAATTAATAATTCTTATCAAATGCTGGTTTTATGTTTCAGGATAACAGTTGGGTATGAGTCCCTCGTGCTCTGGTCACTAACTCCTTCCCCATTGTCTTCTAAATAATGCACTCTAAATAAAGCTGAATGATTCAAGTAGTTTGACTTGGTAGTTTTTCATTAGCACTTGGGATACTTACATGAATATATGTTGCTTCTGTCTAGGAAATATCACTCATAAAACACTTACTGTACTTATGAATATTTTCTGCAAACCTGTAACATAAACCTAATGGTAGTGATTTTCAATAGGTGAGTAAAAAACTGCTTTGGGACTTAAATGTCTTTGTCACAGTAGTTGCTTACAAGCAAAGGAAATTATATATTACCAATGTTCTTAGAACTAAGAAATCAATCATTCCCCTCCAGATTAATCTCCCCACATACGAAAAATTTGAAATATATGTCAGCATTTAGCATTACAAAGTCAGAAACACTGTATTAGGGATAATAGTTTGTGATAACTAAAATAGAGAGGATTCTGTGTAGTGTTCTAGGCTTCCTGTCATAGTAGTGCTAGGTTAAGTTAAAGAGATTCAAAATAGAGAACATGTAAAGGCTTTCAGAGCCTCAGCAATATTTCTGCTCGCTCTCTCTTGAATTCAAGGGAGTATTAGAGAAATGTCTAGCAAAATACAAATAAAACTGCTGCTTTATCGTTTTCAGGGATAGCCATCCAGACTGTGCTGTGTCCCTGCATGGCTCTCATGTCCTTAAAACCCTTTAATTGAAGAAAACTGTGAGAAGTGTCAGAGAAATGCTACCAATTTACACATATTACAGATCATTATGGTGTTCTTTCCTGTTGTGCCTTAATACTCCACTCTATAGGGTGGAATTAATTAGATTTCCCTTCTTTTCTTAAATCATCTACAGAATTCTAACATTTTGCACACTTCAGAATGTACACTCTGAAGAAAAACTAAACAACTCACTATTAAAGTATTCTCTTCAACCTAATTTCATGTGTGAGTCCATTAATACAAATATTATGCATCTGTAAATCTTGAAAGAAATATCCTTTGTATAGTAGATGAGGTATATTCTCTTGCAAAGTTTAGAATCCCAAACATCCTGGAAATATATTTGGAGAACTAAAAAAAAAAGATGAAAATATCTTTTCTCAAAGCTAAAGCATTATATTATGACATTTATACTAAATTCAGGAAGGCTGAAAAGATTAGGATCTAAGATAATATTGTACAGTGAAAAAATTCATATCACTACATCTTTTTCCTTGATTTAAAAAATAAGGATATTGTTCAACTTGTGACAAACATTGCATTGGTCTCAGTATTGGAATTGGTTGAAACAAGACCTCATTGTTAGAAGAACCTAACTACTAATTGAAGCTGTAGAGACCCTTGCTTTCAAATGATCATAGGTAATTACTGTCAATTGCTGTATCACTGTTGTTGAAGCTCACACACTGGGTAATAGAAAGTTAGGAGTCTGGAAGCCCCCTTAAGAATCTGGAAATTTTAACCAGCTGGAGAGTCTCTCGTGATTCCAATTTTACATGTTCAATGTATCTAGGCCCCACTGCTTGATGACAGAGATTCCAGAATATGCAGAGATTTCCTGTGTCATGGAATAATTTCAAATAGTGTACAATGAAAACACATCTTACCTCTTATCCCTCACACAATATGATTGTCTTCATTCTATAACCATTTATACACATAATTGTCTATGGTACAGCAAGCAAGTGGTGAGGGTGACAAAGTAGGTTCAGAAATACTCACTGTTGGAGTTCTATGGAAGAAAGCATTTGCAGATTGAGAAAGATGCAAGTCATTGACTCAGGGAAGTTAACCATATCATGTTAGAAGAGCATACAAACTGAGGAAGACTGGATTTGGAATATTCACTCTTTATGGAAGAGCATTGTAAGATACACAGTAGAACCACACTACATGATCCTGAAGGACATTCCTAGAAGAAGTTCAAGGGGCTACAGTTTTAAGAAGCCACCAAAACTGTCCTAGCACTTTGCAGTTAAGGGAACTTCTCTTCAGCTGCAGGACAACTGATGGGCCAGCCTGCGGATCAGAAACATTTGGAGTAGGTGGGAAGAGTCATTTCTCGATGGAAACTGGCTTTCTAACTGGAGATTTCAGAAGAGGATTGGGTGCCTAAATGAAGAGTGCTGGATCAAATGCCACTCCTTGTCAGCTGGAAGTTGCATGTTGTGGAGCTAGGAGTGGAGGCCACTGCCTTAGATCTCAAAGCAATGTGAAAATTCCCTTCATCTGCAGTGGTTGTCAATTTTGGTCTTGGGAAAGATTTCAGTCACCAGAGCAGTTGGAGGAAGTGAAAACAAGATGCCATTAAAACTCCCGGGTCACAGGAGAAACTTTTCTAGTGGATGAACAGGAAGTGGACCATGATTGAGATTTCTTACTCTGCTCCTCATAAGAACACTGACCCTCAAATTCTACTGTGTATTTCTCAACTGTGCTGTTGAACTGCTGACTATGTAAGTGTAACTTATCTGGATTTTTATTACACTTCTTATTGTTGCAAGGAGATTTATGTAATAATTTCAGAGACAATGTACTTGTCTGGAGTTTGCAAACATGGTTTTATTTACCTTTAGGTAGGTACAAAGCTGACTTAATTCACATTCATTCATGGTTTCTAACTCAGCTGTTTTATCACTGTCCTAGCAATATCTTTGCATTTGGACATTATGCATTCTCAGGGAACTTCTTAGATACTAGTCCCTTAAATACCAGTGCACTTTTGATGAAATTTTAATTGATATTTTAGCAATTTTTTTTATTAAATTTAGCTGTCTTTAAAGTTATGGTTGTATAAACATTGTTTAAGCAATGAAGCACTCTGTATTAATTTTTTCAACTAAAAAGTATGAACTATCAGGTTCAGCATTCTGAAATATGTTCTCATATACTAATTTATTAATGTTGTACTTTAGAGTCTATAAAATCACTACGTATGCATTCTATGAGATGATATTAAGCCACAATGATTTTTCAAAATTTTTATTTATTTTATTAAATCAAATCATAATTTTTACTTATTCACACAGGGGTTATAAACACAAAAAGACAGGACATGGGGAAGGAGATGACACCTGAGCATGGGTGTTCAGGGGGTATACAGGTATCTTTCAGAACAGGGTATCAGCTGGGTGAAGGTTCAGAGTACAAGTCACTATGACTTTGCCTATGATTCACTTGTTCTTATCTAAGTTGGTATTATCTGCCAAGGCTACCTATTTACAAGGTCTATGACTACTCAGGCTGCTAAATTTCCACAAAAGCTGCCTGTTTACAATAGCTTATAGCTATCTGTTTCAATGTTTTTCCACAGAGACCCAAGACTTGGTGTTAGTATACATGTATGACAGGCCTATTGCTGATTTTAGACCTGTGACTGATTTTAGGCCTTCAGTGTATAAGCAGGGCTGCCCCTGACATCTCCTCCCTTCTCTAAGTATAGAAGGGCTGTGGTGATTCAAATCTTGTGAAGGCGGGGATAGAGGCCTGACCTCCAGTAATTGAGGGGGACTTTGTAATGGCGATGGTCCCCCTGCCATTGTCCAGTGAGGAATGAGAGCCATACCCATCCTGATGTCTTTTTCTTGGAGAGGGGATACTTTTGACATCAACCCCTATGCAGTCAGGTTTGTCCCTCAGGGAACCCAGAGAGATATTTTTAACTTTTATTAATATTCCCTTGCAGTACTTAGCCTCGCAGCCTAAGTAAGAATTCAGATCGCCAGTCAGAGGGGGTTCTGGATGGCCCCTCTCTGTTTGGTCTAGGGCTGGAAGTCCCCTCTTTTAGGTTGGGTGGAGATGGATATTGGGAACACCCTGGATAGAGTAACAACCTCATCTTAAGTCTCGTGGTCCTTCATTGCTAACTTATGATAATGTATTTGAATAGGTTTTGCTACCAAATTATTTATCTGTTGCTCACAAAGTTAGTCAGCCTATTTATGGCCCAGGGACCAAGAGAAATAAGCAAAAGGAACCCAAATAATGGTGCCAAGGTGGGAGGAAGTAGGGTTGACAACCATGGAGAGGTTGAAAACCAATTCTTGTACCAGCTCTCATCTTTCTCTTTCTCTGTCTTTTCTCTGACCTTACTCATGCTCTCTTTAACTATCCCTGTCTTTTCTATGAAAAGACATCATTCTTCTTGAAGGGCTGTACACAGTCAAGAGCTGTACACAGTCTTTTCTATTGTAAAAGAGTAAAACAAGTCCAGTAAAGTTCTTTGCAATTTTTGGAGGTCTCTACAGACAGCTAAATGAGGGATTTCTTCAGATTAGTGATGTCAGTCTCTAGCTGTTTGATGTTCTTGTCAATGGCCCGTTGGAGGTCTGAGTAGTATACGTTCAGAGGCTAGCATCTGGATTAGAACTTCCATCAACAGACATCATGGGTGCTTTATTTTTACCTGAGATACTGCCCAGGTTAGAGCTCCTGGGAGGCCATCTTCCTTTAGGTTTTGTTAGGTTTGGTACAGAGCTGCTGCCTGGGATATTCTTTGTGCTTGGGCGTGTACCAGAAGTCCCACAATGATTTTTTTATTGGATATTTTCTTTATTTACATTTCAAAACTTATCCACTTTCCCAGTATCACTCCCGGAAATCCCTTATACTATCACCCACGCCCCTGCTTCTATGAAGGTGGTCCCCTACCCACACATCAACTCCTGCCTCCCTGCCCTAGAATTGCTCTCCCCTGGGATATTAAGCCTTCGAAGGATCAAGGCCCTCTTCTCACATTGATGCCCGACAAGGCCCTCCTCTGTTACATATGCAACTGGAGCCATGGATCTCTCTATGTGTACCTTGCTTGATGTTTTAGTCCCTGGGAGCTCTGTGGGATCTGCTTGGTTGATGTTGTTCTTCCTGTGGGGGTTGCAAACCTCTTCAGCTCCTTCAGTCCTTTCATTAACTCCTCCATTAGAGACTCAGTCCTAAGTCCAATGGTTGGCTGCAACCATCTGCCCCTGTATTTGTCAGGTTCTGGCATTGCCTTTCAGGAGATAGCTATATCAGGCTCCTGTCAGCATGCACTTCTTGGCATACACAATAGTGCCTGGGTTTGGTGACTTTATATGGGATGGATCCTTAGGTGGAACAGTCTCTGGATGACCTCTCCTTCCATCTGTACTCTACAATTTGTCTCCATATTTGCTCTCATGACTATTTTGTGCCCCCTTCTAAGAAGGAACAAAACATTTGCACTTTGGTCTTTCTTCTTCTTGAGCTTCATGTGGTCTGTGAATTGTATTTTGGGTATTCTGAGCTTTTGGGTTAATACCCACTTCTCAGTGAGTGCATACCATGTGTGTTCCTTTGTGATTTGGTTACCATACTCAGGATATTTTATAGTTGCATTCATTTTCCTAAGAATTTCATGAAGTTATTGTTTTTAATAGCTGAGTAGTACTCCACTGTGTAAATGTATCACATTTTCTGTATCAATTCTTCTGATGAATGCCATCAGGGTTCTTTCTAGCTTCTGACTATTGTAAATAAGACTGCTATAAACATAGTCCTTGTTATATGTTGGATCATCATTTAGGTATATGCCCAGGAGTGGTATAGCTGGGTCCTCAGGTAATATTATGTCCAATTTTCTGAGGAACCACAAAACTGATTTCTGGAGTGGTTTTACCAGCTTGAAATCCCACCAACAGTGAAAGAGTGTTCCTCTTTCTACATACTCACCAGCATCTGCTGTCCCCTGAGTTTCAGATCTTAGACAGTCTGACTGGTATGAGGTGGAATCCAGGGGTTGTTTTGATTTGCATTTCCCTGATGATTAAGGATGTTGCACATTTCTTTAGGTGCTTCTTGGCCATTTGTTATTCCAGAGTTGAAAATTCTTCATTTAGTTCTGTATCCCAGTTTTTTAATATGGTTATTTGATTCTCTGGGGTATAACCTCTAATTTTCTTTACATATATTGTATATTAGCCCTCTATGGCATGTAGAATTGTTAAAGATCTTTTCCCAAACTGTTGGTTTCAGTTTTGTCCTATTGAAAGTGTCCTTTGCCTTACAGAAGCTTTGCAATTTTATATGGTCTCATTTGTTTATTATTGATCTTAGAGCCTAAGCCACTGGTGTTCTGTTCAGAAAATTTTACCCTGTACTCATGTGTTCAATGTTCTTCTCCACTTTCTGTTCTATTATATTCAGTGTATCTTGTTTTATTTGGAGGTCCTTGATCCACTTGGACTTGAGCTTTGTACAAGGAGACAATTATGGATCTACTTGTATTGTGCTACAATGTTGACCTCCAGTTGAACCAGCACCATACTTTGAAAATGCTATTTTCTACTGGATGGTTTTAGCTCCTTTGTCAAAGATCAAGTGATCATAGCTGTGTGGGTTCATTTTTGGGTCTTCAGTTCTATTTCCTAAATCTGCTTGTCTGTCTCTATACCAGTACCATACAGTTTTTATCACTATTTCTTTATAATACATCCTGAGGTCAGGGATGGTGATTCCCCCAGAAGTTCTTTTATTGTTGAGAATAGTTTTTCCTATCCTAAGATTTTTTTTTTTAATTTTTTTGTATCTCAACTGAATTTGCTAATTGCTCTTTCTATTCTTTGAAGAATTGAGTTTGAATTTTGATGGAGATTTTCTTGAATCTGTAGATTGCTTTAGGCAATATGGCCATTTTTACTATATTAATTCTATCAATCCATATGCATGGAAAATCTTTCTATTTTCTGAGATCTTTGCTCTCTTTCTTCAGAGACTTGAAGTTCTTGTCATAAAGATTGTTCACTTGCTTGGTTAGAGTCACACCAAGGTATTTTATATTATTTGTGACTATTCTGAAGGGTGTTGTTTCTCTTATTTCATTCTCAGCCTGCTTATCCTTTCAGTAGATGAATGCAACTGATTTGTTTGAATTAACTTTATATCCAACCACTTTACTGAGGTTGTTTATCATGTTTTGGATTATTCTTGTGAAATTTTGGGGATTACTTAAGTATACTATCATATCATCTACAAATAGTGATTATTTTTGACTTCTTCCTTTCCACTTTGAATCCCTTTAACCTCCTTTTGTTGTCTAATTGCTTTGGCTAGGACTTTGAGGACTATATTCAATGGGTAGGGAGAGAATGGACATCCATGAGTAGTCCCTAATTTAGTGGGATTGCTTCAAGTTTCTCTCTAGTTAAATGTTGGCTACTGGATTGCTGTATATTGCTTTTACTATGTTTAGGTATGGGCCTTCAATTCCTGATCTTTTCAAAACTTTTTTTTTCCTTTCCAGTTTTATTTTAAAGTTTTAAAATTAGAACCACAGTCATTTTTCCCTCGGCTCTAGTTACACTTGTTTAAATAGAGGGGTAGGGTGCGCGAGTTTCCTATTTTATTAAAATAAGAGAAAGACAGCTGTACAGATTTTTTCTCTCAGCTCCCAAAGTGAGACTACTAGTCTTAGACATGGATATATATACATATACACACATGCACACAATTCTGGCTCTCTAAAGCTACCTAGCAAATTCGAATCAACCGTAGTGTATCTTACAGTCCACTCCCTGCCTCTCCCCCTCTTTGGCTACTTAGAAAAGAGTCAAAAAGTAAAAGGTTGGAGGGCTTTTAAGTGGCAGCTGGTAGAAACGCAGTGGCACCAAGCAAAGCCACATCTTACACAGGAAGGGGGGGTGGAGGAAACAAACAAAGTCCTCCTAGGACACAATCCATCAATCATGTGGAAAAACCCAAGTTTCCATAGGCACACTGAGGCACTTGGCTGACTCCCTCCCCTCCCCATAAGCCCACTCCCAGTTAACCAGACTGCTGAAAAGACCCCTCCTTCCCAATGGCTAGATCTTGGTTGTGAGGAGCTACGGTTTCTCTAACCAGCTGTCACTTGGACCCCTTTCTCCCTTTAGACAATGGGGAGGGACTAGGGCAGAAGAAAAAGAAACCAGGTCCCCAACTTACCACCAACCAAACCAGGGACTTTTCCTCCCTCCTTGGCCAGCCAGGTGGGATATCACCTGCTCCCAACCAAAGGTTCTGAAATGCTCATTAGGGACAAGCAAACTAAGAAAGTCTTAAAAGACAAACCTTAGTTCCTGGGTCCCCTGACCTAGCCAGAAGTTTGCCGGTTCCATTTACCTTCGTAGTAAACAAACCACCGAACGAAACACACAACCCCCCCATCCCTGACCCCATAAGGTTAATATCAAATCAAGAAAAAAAGTACATCTCCATCATTACAAAGATGAGGTCTGTTTGCTGTCCTTGAACAATGGGTTAAGGAAAAAGGAGTCGTTCCACAATGTCTGTCTGAGGAATCCAAACTCTGTCCTCTCTCTATAAAGTCAGAATAGAATGGGCAAAGGGCTGCAGATGGGACCAAGAGAGAAATGTATTTACAGAAAACAGGGGGGAGGAAGGAGTGTCTCCACGCAAAGCCTTCACTGTCACTTCTTCTTGCTGGCCCTCTTGGCACTCGACTTGGCTTTGGGCTTCACGGGTTTGGCCTTCTTGGGTTTGAATGCCTTGACTGGCTTGACTTTGACAATCTTGGGCTTTTTGGCTTTCTTGGGCGTGGCAGCCGGCTTCTTCTTGGCCTTCTTGACCGGGGTGGCTTTGGATTTCTTGCTTGGGGCTTTGGAGGCAGCCTTCTTGGGCTTGGCTGCCTTCTTTGGAGTGGCCACTTTCTTGACTTCCTTCTTGGTCTTCTTGAAAGCCACCGACCTATTGGGCTCATCGTCCTTGGCCAGCCTGAAGGACCCCGAGGCTCCCACCCCTTTGGTTTGCTTGAGAACACCGGTGGTCACTAGTCGCTTGACGGACAACTTGATCTGGGAGTCAGCATTCTCATCCACCTTGTAGTGGCTCTTGATGTACTTTTGGATGGACTGGCGCGAGGAGCCGGCGCGGTTCTTCTCTGCCTGGATGGCAGCCACGATCATGTCTGAATACTTGGGGTGGTCCGTGGACTTCTTGGCGGCCTTGGCCCGCTTGGGTTTCGCCGCCGGGGTGGAGGTGGAGTTCTCGGTCACGGTGGCCGTGCTCCCGCTGTTCAAGGAGCAGCCCTCGCCAGAGGCTATGCAGAACCTGACTCGCGATCTGCTCTCCGGCTCCACTGGCAGGCCAGACGAAAGTGCGGCTGCCAGGGACGAGGGCGAAGCTTGGCTCCTGTCCTCCCAGCGGTCGCGGGCTGCTCTGCATGCCCAGCCCCCACCGTTCCATCGCCCGCCCCGTGCCTGGCTCCGCCTCCGCCTCCGCCTCCATGGCCTCCCTTTTCCCAGCTGTGCGTCTTTTAACATGAAGGGGTGTTGACTTTTGTCAAATGCTTCCTCTGCATATAATGAGATGATCATGTGTTTTTTTTTTTCCTTTGAATTAGTTCATTTAAAGGTTTATGTTGACAGATTTCCCTATATTGAACCAACCCTGCATCCCTGGGATGAATCCTACTTTATCATGATGGATGATTGTTTTTATGTGTTTATGGATTTGGTTTGCAAGAAATTTATTGAGTATTTTTGCATCAATATTCATAAAG